TCATCATCTAGTGAGCGCCTTATAGTTTTGCGGAACAGCATGAACCAACCGAATTGAAACAGCGCACGCTAAGCTCATCGTAACGTACTGAAAGGGAGACCAACGTCACTGCACACGAGTACTACGTCATCACATGAACATGTGATAAACCTGAAGTGAATACCATGCATTCATTTGAATTTTTTAATCCATTTACATCAAAACCACTCAACTGCCCCTTTGGTGGCGTTTCTCTGATTTTAATTTCACGTTTAGTTGAGGTTTTATCCGGAAGGTTTGGCTCTAATAAGTGGCGTATTTAGTCTCTCAATCGCTTCCCCGTGTGTTTTACGCCTATTGAAATCCCAAGCCATGTGTAAATTACACAGTGCACAAAACCAAGTGAATACGTTTCACGTATATTCGGCGAAAGAAGCTAGAAGTACAATAAGCAACGAGGTTAGAAAAAACTCAACGTGCACGTTCGTTAACGTCTGTCAGATACTGCCAAACTGGAGCGGTGAATAAACTTGACCTGATTTCAGGACTAGCAAACACTAGACTGACTGGAGCTGAACATGGCTATGATGACGTGGCAACCGTGACTCTTTACGTGCATACAAAATTAAAACCACATAGATTGTTAAAAGAGCATGCGATTCATTTCAAGAGAAATGGAGTATTTTGTCCTGGATGCAGCATGCTTCGCAACTTTTCAAAAATGGCCGTGTTTTGAACCAACACGACCACTGGATTTAGGGAAAAATTGGTTTGTACGCATTTCTCCTGTTTATCCGAAACTCCTGTTATTATAAGACACTAATATGTGTAGTAACGCCTTTAGTCACGGAAAGTTTTGTTGCACGGAACCGCTGTGATAACATTCTACATCTGCATAAATGGAGATATGATATTCCAGAGAGGTGAAATTTGCAATCGACAACAACAAAGCAGTTGTAAAATAATAACTAAATGGAACCAGTATCTGCGCTAAGAGAAGTGCCGAAAAAGGTACACAATATTTTGTTTTTAAATTACTACGATGGCTTCTCACTTTAGTGCCTGAAACTTTCAAAGTATATACAATGTGCTTGAACAGTTGTCCAAAATGGCGGGCGATCAGTGGCTTTGTTTTTGAACGGCAGCAGTGTAAAAGTCAGATAGGTATATCCTGAGGACTTATATAGTGTGTTGGAGAAATCTCACTAGGCTAGCTAACTACTATCTTATCAACAAATTTAGCTGAATAGCGCTAACAGTGGCTGTTTTATTGACCAATCAACGCTGTTTCGGTAGGCTGCTTATGTGTGAAAGATTTAGTCATGGATAAAAAATCATTTCGATAACATTTTGTATCTGTATGAATACATAGGATTTTTTACTGTGTTATAGTGTCGAGCCCTTCAAATAGTACATACCACGCAGATTATGGTTACTTTGCACGCAATTCCTAACCGGGCACATATAAGCACTTATTAAAACAGAAACAGGGGAAAACTTTACGAGATTGATGACAGACACTGAGATATAAATATTTTGTATCAAGTAGCGTACTGTATATCGTGGGTCCTCACTCAACTAGTTTGGTTACCATGGCCTGTCTGATACGAAGCACAGCACCCTTGTGATATAAAAGATGAACGTCAGTAAGTCAAAGTTTCACTGCTGTGCGGTCGTTTTGGCCCCAAACACATTACTAAATAGTAAGCGGTAAGGTCTCCTTCAACATGCATGAGTTACTATGGTTCCATTTCGTTTAAGGTAAAGGGTTTATGTGGCAAGCTGAACCACCGTTTTTTGTGCAGTTCGAACAACCAAACCACCAACATCTTGCCTCAACTTGTTGCCGGATTAGAGCCTTCCATTTGAGATCATGCCACTGCAAGCCAAAGTGCGAGTACCTGAGGCAAAATAATTCGACCAGATTTATCAAATTATTGATCCACCAAATTCCCAGCGGGAAAGTTTCCGGGTGTTCTGTTATAACTCATCAAAAAGACTAAAACGTGCATTTTGTGTTTCTGCCGCGCATTTGGCGGTTTTCCGGGCAGGATAACAATCTAGAATAATGAGTTACATTGATATACACAGCAAAAGTGCAAAACAACAGGCAACGTAGTATGTACGTTTTGTCTTCACACAAATTTTATTTGCGGTTTTAGCCAAGTAGGCAGTTAAATCATGAAATGGTGGGAAGCAAAAGAATCAGATGCGAGATAATGAAAACACGACTCAACCCGAAGCGCCGAAGACCACTCCACTTACTACAAACTGTCAAGCAAATCCTAGTTAAAAAATTATTTTTGTGTAGACCAATCATCAAACTACGTTCTGTAGCACCAGATTGTTCTTTATCAAGTCAGCTGATGATCTTTCCCTGATTTACATCCGTCACCGAGGATAGGTGATCAGCTTCACCGGTTTAGCATTTTGGGCATCCGGCTACCAAACAAACCAGGATTTCCCACAATCAGTCTGCCTTCAAGACAAAGGGTGTGCTCATTCTTGTTGAATTTGACTTTTCCGAGATTTGGGAACAGTTTCTTTGCACAATGCACAGCAAATAGGGCGCAAAGTGAACAGAGGTTTCCGCAGTGCGATTATTATGACTTTATCAGTCAATGAGCTATGAAGAAATGTTTCAGCATGACGTCGGGAGGGTCCACTATTCAAGGTTGGTTAGGGGATATTAAAAATTTGGTATTCTGGTCCACCAGATTGGCTTTGAAGGCGACGCGGTTCGTAATAATTCAGTAGTGTTTTGGCACTCTTCCGCTGTCTTGCCGTCAGAGTCATGCGTCAAAGACTTCGTCTGAGGGAAACGAATGTTCATTCAATGATAAATCAGCATGGTCAAAGTCACAACATACCACAATGGACTTTTTAGGTCTATACAAAATGCGTCCTACTAGCTTGGCTATTCAAAAGCACATAGACCCAGAATTTAAGCACACCAGTCAGAAATAGCTCGTTCAGTGCATGTTGGATGGCTGTGTACTGCCTTCCCCTACTCATAGAAGGAATCTCCGGTATGCTGATTGAAATTCCAGCCCACTATTCGTCAAACTCCAGTTAACCCAGTCAGTGTGTGTTTGTGTATCGAAGTATCTTGACGTCGTATGTTTGGAGCTAGACGCAAACATGCGACCAGCAATGTTCACTCAAGAAACAAATGTAACTGCAAACACTTTGATCCTCTTAGCCATATTAGTGGTGCTGATGATTTGTATCACTTCTAACAATGTGGGTTCATAATTGTGACCCATTTTGAGCCAGCAGAATAAACCTTTATAGCTCAGTCCGGCCATCCAAAATGGATGATGTAGAGCGGTTATTAGTTTGTTGACCCAGCAAGCATGACACGTGAAATTTCTTCTTTTTGCTTGGGTGCCTCCACCAGCCGACGATATTTGAAATCACACTTTGCCTCCGTTTAACCTGTGGGTAAACCGTGTATAGCCGTTTTATTGCGCACAGTGCTGCCTACATGACACCTGCGAAAGGTCAAATTAATGTCTGAGTAAGAACCCATACATTATTTTGGACAGAATAGCAGCCTTCAACGAATGGAAATAAAGCGGAAGCTTCGAAATTTAAATCTGGTCTGACTGGTATGTTTAAGAAAGTGTGGTATGCAGATGGGGAACGCGCTGGGTGTGCTATTTCTGGTCTGCATCGGTTTATCCACCTGGATGCACCCTAAAAAGTTCATTATTGTTGTTTAATAATTATGCTGCTGCTTGCTCCCATGTCAGTGCAATTTTGAAGTAAATTGACATGCTAAATGATCCGCAATTATTTAAACCTACTGGGTTTGCATGAGTGAAACATTCCAGAACACATTTTTGTCAGGGGGGGGATGTAAATTGATCGGGCTCCGGTTTTTGGCGTTTACGGTTGGTTGAGTAGGTTTGATGTCTAATGCTACCGTCTAACAGCAAACATAAACTCAAGTGTATTTTTTACTCATCCACAATATTTTTGAAGGTACGTATGCTTCGTTCGCTTATTTAAATTGAGTTTAATGAAATTGACGCTGCTTCGCTGCAGACTTGCATATGAAGCCCAAGTTTCGAAACACAACAGAGACAACGGATGTCATTTTACTGAGTTTTCGATTAAAATATTCTAGAGTTAGTGATCCTATTTTACTGACGAATGAATAGTTACCCTTGGTGACGACGGGCTAATCATAAATTATACATATATATGTATGTGCATATATACATATATACAATAACAATAATATAAAAGTAATAATAATAATAAATCTCATTCACAGATACTGACGGTCCACCAAAACTTAGGAAGGTTAGGCGAAAGTAGCTTTACAGGTGAGATTCTTTGCGTGTGGTTGGCAGCGTATCTTTCATACAGGCGTTTTATACAAATTATATANTATATATATATATAGGACAAACTAACCAAACCTACACGTCGAATAGTGTTTTCCCATTCTTTGTAACCAACAATGTGCAATAGTTTACATGCCATTCTCATGCATTCTACATTTTGATGGCACAGTGAGGAAATTTTTTGGTCAGTTTTCTGCACGTGAAACAACTTGGTGTGTTTTTTTCAGTTTATTCCCAACCCAGCACACACACAAATTCTAGTGTGATGTGTCCTTGAGTGAGTGATTCCCAGATTTCAAGTAATTAAATAATTCTGTTAGATGGCTTGTTAGGTTGTGGACTCTACGATTGGAATCAAAGTGATCTTTTGATTTGATCCGCTTCAATCGTCTGATTGCCGACCGCCGTCTTCCAAGACACATGAGTCGGCCCCGAAAAGAGGCATTCCCCTAACAGCTGTGGATTTGGTGGTCATAAAATCGTCTATTTGTGGGACTACATATTGAATATGAGCAAATACATTCAGTTCATACCGTACACATGATAACAGGGGCGGTTGCAAAGTCGATAAAAATAAACTCTATTTTTAACAAGTGCAGCGGAAAGACAATATCTGTGTATTTCGTGTGACTTGAAATACCACCATAGATGTATTACACTTCTTACATAGGAAACCCGTAATCGCCAACCCCGTTGTTCGAAGAGTTATGTCCGCCCGTTTGGAGCACCTGAGAAAAACAAAACCACCGAAGAATCAAAGCACAAAAATCAGTCAATTTAGATACATTAGCTATCGATACTAGTTGAGTCCAGTATAGTGTTTCATTTAACTAAGGAATCCGTATATCTAAACCGCTTTGAAGTACCAAACTGAATGATTACCAATTCACGCGTACACTGTGCACAGTCAGCAAAACCATGTTGAACGGCTTCTCATGTATGACGGTTTCAGAAACTAAGAAGAACTGCAAGCATTGAGAATCAATCACCCCAACGTGTACGTGCATTGGCGCCCGTCAGATGTATCGGATGTGAATAGAAGTGATTTGTGATTCCAGTTTTTACTATGATTGACGGAATCTTCTCATGAATATGATGACGTGGCATAAGAACCGGTGATTAATTCTCTTAGAAAATCAATCGTTCGTACTGAATACAACATGCTTCACAGCCTCTCGAAAATGGCCGGTAGCAAAATGTTGTGTTGAAATACCGCAGCCACTCGATTTGGAAGGAAAATGTCTCGTTGGGCTGATAGTAGTGTTTTGAAGGCCACAGACAAAGTGATATGATAAGGTTTGGTCCCTCCACACTACATTATCAGCGTATTATCAAACTATGGTTGCTGATTCGTGTCTGAGAGTTGAGTAATCAATGACTGCTTCACGGCTTTTGCGTACGCCTGCCACCAACCACTTCTAGGTAGGACTTAAGAAATGGTGGTTTGGTTGAACTAAGCTTCATTTCCGCACGCAATTTACTCGCCAAGATCTTGGGTCACGTTGAAAAAAACCGAGCAGTTCGAACATTTAATTTAAAGGCTTAGGTGCGTTTTCTGCTGAGCTTCACAGTATAGAATGCTTGGTGCGCTGCCAGTAGGTGGATAATGACAGTAATAATCAAGGCTTTCACAAATAGACCAGATGAAAACAGTCATCTTGATACCAAGAGTCAATTGTATATCTTAGTTAAACCAACTTTTCCAGAACATCTTTATGGCTTATTTCAAAATCATCACTTTGCAAACTGCTTTTTCGATTGGTGGGGATCACAATAGGTTAACTGAAATGGCATTGTTTCTTATTGCAGGTGTCCATTTTACAGGAATATTGAAGTCTGAATAGTTGCAAATATAAGCGAATACAAGCAAATGTTAAAGTAGCTAAATAGTCAGCAGTATTTGTTTCCAAAAGATAAATTCTGACTTTAATCCACCAATCACCACTCATCGCAGTTGATTCTCAAACTCATACTATGCATTGGTGCTTGTCATGTTGCTCTAAGGGACTACGTTTTTGACTGTTTACAGGTACCAGTGGACGCTAAATCCACCTTATAATTTCAAGTAGCTTCTACACGTACTACCTCTCTCCGAAAACTCTTCCACTCCCCACAAGACTTTTCCTGCTGCGGCAGTCTGAAAATGTATGGAATATTAATTCTTCTCTCTAAATACAAAGTCACCATTTTTCTTAAAGCTGATAAACTGAACCGACAATATTTCGGTGCTTCTAGTCATGGTTACCCCCTAGACAGGAAATCTGAATGCCTGACAGGTGTAATAACTAGATTTTTGTTAAAAAAAACACTGTAGCTTGCATGCGTTATCTTATCTACCTGGACCATTCTAATCGAGCAAAACCCTCAGAAGTCCCATAGTATATGCTAGTTAATGTACACTGGTTGAATTTCGCTGCGAATCAGGGGCCCATGGCTTAGTATCCCAAATATTTCGAGGCGAAGAAGCTGCTGAATTGACCTAATAACATGCTGAATATACTCGTTGTAAATTTTGCGCTCAAGGCTACTTTGGAAAATGTGCGACCACAAAAAACCATAAAGCACTGGAGTAGCACTCTAGCTTGTGTTTCTCTCCTTAGAAACTCTAACTTCAAGTCAGTTCTATGTGGAGCGGTGTAAATAAATCTAATAAAAAAGCCCACGCAGTGCTCACCGTGCCGAAACGTGTGGGCGACTACTTTGATCTGCGCAGGGGGTAAAAGCAAGTCATTCATTACATCAGCAAATGGGCACGTGACCCCTCAGATGTAAGGATCATTCGCATCTCCAGATTTCTTCCATGCACATAAAACGTGAGACCGCCCACCCACACATTTTGTTGGTCTGACTTTATTCAACCATTTTCAAGTGTAGCTGCAATTAAGAATGTAAATCAGATACATGAGGTTAATTTAGCTACCGTGGAGTACCTTTTTATCCCTCAATCTGAATTTAAGTACTGCTTCAGACTACCATATTCATTTTTGTGGAACAACCCTTTCAGGTATACAGACAGTAAACTTTCAGCACCTTGAACTACGCATGCACGTAAACTGTGAATTAAGTGGTCGGGGTGTGATAAATCGACAAGAATCACCAAGAATGATCTGGTATATCCTTTTTCTTATTGAATGAAGAAGACGAAATATCTAGTCAGATCGTGCTGTTCTCGTGCTCTTCTGGGCTCAGCACCGGTAGTGCAATCGCATGCTGCTTACCTTGGAGTAGTTCAACCATAAGATGGTTTATTAAGTAGTCGCCTTCCTTATTACCAAGGCCAGACACCTGATTTTTTCAAGACACGAATGCAAAGTGGTAAGTGATATGTGATTTTACTTCTGCGGATGCCCAAATTCAACTGAAAAGCAATCCAAGCCCAACGGACATTACAATTTGAGGACTGGTGGAGAATTAAAACAACCAGAAAATATTTTGATTTTCGGCCCCATTTAACGTTTTCGTATTCTCGGGAGTCATTGTTATTAAGCAACGTGCTTGTTCAACATTCGGTTTTTCACGGGATCTACTCATGGTTAGAAGAATTTCATCTCGCAATAAACGTAACCCGTTAGACATAAACTTTATTGGCCAGGTGAGCATACGGTTTACCTTCTCACGGGAAACTTTGAAGTTGAACTGGATGGAATAATTTTGGGACCAGTGAGTCGGTACATTTGCACTCAAATCTATCGCATTAAATACAGTGTCTGTTCATAAACGTTTCAAATAATAGAGTTGATCCGGCGTCACTCTATTAGGTAGCCTATATTGCAGGTGACAGACTGATACATTTCATGAGTTATTTATTTTCGTTAGCTTTTTGATCTACTGGTTATCGAATAACAGCTATTCCTTTGGTAAAACTTCCATTTTAATGGGGCTCTCTCGTCACCACCAATGAGTTTCGACTAGCAGACATGTGGCTGAATTTTTCCTAAATTAAGCGCATTTACCACATGGCCAGGAAACATCCAGACGATAAATGTTGGATACATATTTGGTATTGAAGGAATTATGCACGTCAGTCACGCACCACCCTGATTAATGCAGTTACAGTGTGATATCTAGACGAAGTTTTTGTTTTTCTGTCCAGAGAGTTTCCCGTGGAGCGTACTGACCAAATGCGATGACGATGAAGGAACTTCCTAAATTGCCACCTTTTCACATAGCATGAAGATTAGGTTGGTTTGCGTGTGAATTAACCTATGTTAAAATTTAATTTAGGTAGATTAATTAACTGTTCACTAGTCATTTCCCTAATGAAAGCAGTATTGAAGTTTTACCTTGGGCTGATACACTGTCCCTAATTGTGCATCCAGCCCGAAAAATAGTTTTTTTCACAACAAAAAGTTTTCCTGTTCAAAATATGTTGATCCACGGACCAAAAATAGTGCAGAGATGGATGGAGAACTTGATCAGAGTCTTGACCGTGGAATTATTGTGTTCCGAATTGCCAGCCATCTTGGTCTGAAATTATCCAAGAAGGACCACAAAAATGTGATGTCACAGAGATCATAATCAGCTAATAATGTCCCTAAGGATTTAGGTTTCCAACAGTGAGCATATTATTGAACCTATGCCAGAAATTGTGAAACAGACTGAGTTTTTAAAGCCTTCTGCACTTCGATGAATGGAAACAATATTGCACTATGAAAACCGGCAGAGCAAACCATCCACCCTATGTAAGTAACCAAATTATTTCGTTCGATTTTTCCGCGTTGCACAGCCGACTATACATGGTATTTTGTGCAACCACAAGCATCCAGTAATTTGTCGGTAAGCAAAAAATTAATGTTGAATCAGAGAACTAAATTATGGGCGCACGAGAATTATTAAATTATACTGAGTCTGCGGCTTGATCACAGTTGGGAAGAGATCTTCTGGAAAGCCAGGGAATCAGTTGGTAACGGGTTTTGTCACTCCTATTTTCAAAATCATCTTGATGATCAATCCGAAATGATGGTCACGAGACCCGAACACACCAAAAGCTGTAGCGATTTGTTCACTGAAAACCAACAAATATAGCTATATTCCGGCACACAAAAAATTGCATCATTGATTGAACGCGCGACACCATGTAATGTGCCGACAAGCCTACATAGTTTAAAGGAATGTGATATTAACGCGGTCACGATTCCAAACCATCTGTCAAAGCAAGACCCAATAGCACGGAACTGACTAATCCTAGTCAGCTTAAATGATATTACGCACATATTAGTTCCGGAGACGCACCAAACTATTTATTCGTTATTACAAACAGGGATTTTATCTACTCGGGCTATGCGCATACTTCCAGCAGTAAAGTCCGCAGCATAGGCACAACGCAGATAACGTTCACCGTCATTACATGACACCTCTGCAGCGGTTTAAATGTTCAGTATTTTAGTCAATTTCTCAATGCATGTGGAACCATGAAAGTTCAAATACAACCAGCCAATTTTTGATAGCGTGCGACAGAATGGTGTAAATCGTCTATGGGTTATGGGGTGGCACAGATAATCGTTTATTACTTTGGGTATTTTCTTGCAAGGCTAGTGACTAGAGAGCAGTGCTGGAGAGCTGTAATGTAGTATACGAATTCTGATATCTTTGTCTCTTGGATTAATTACATGGTTAATTATTTAACCATTCACTCATTCAGATATTATGCAAAACAAACAAGAAGAGATATCCCGTGAATCCAACTCGAACTGTGAACTTAATTCTAGATGAAACCCATGGACTTCGC